GTTACAAGGCTTTGCAGCAAACTGAGATTGGATAGAAAGCAATTATGATTGGGATGAGCAAGAATACATCACAGTTAGGTGGAAAGCAATTTAAGGGACCACACAGGAATGTAGATTGAGCCTGGGGAATTGAGGAATTAGATTCAATATGGCACAGGGGAGAGTCCAGCTAAATATAGAGAGAGCAATACCTGGCTTAGGCTGTGTGAGCAGGACTTTCAGGATGAACTCTCACTCATCCATAGATGTTAAGGATTTGAATTTGAAATGTCTCTTATAAACACCTATGTTTAAATACTTGGAACCCAGCTAGTGGTAGTATTTTGAGAGTTTGTAGAAACAAATATGTGAGCCCTGGCTATCAAAAGCATGTCATTAGTGTCAGGTCTTGAGGCTTATAGCCATGCCCTGATACTTATCCTAGACTGCTGATTTGCTGGTCCTCTGGGACATAATGAGCCCTGACACCAAGAATGAAGCCCCAGCTTCCATGCATTTCCCACCATGGTACTAAACAATAATACAAACCCTTACTTGAGTTGCCTCCTGTCAGGTTTTTGTCATAGTGATGAGAAAAGAACAGCATGATGGGGTCCCATATGGGTCCTTAACCTTCTGAGTAAAGATGTGTGTTCAAAGTCTGTGGGTTACCTCATGCAAAAGATAGCCAGTGTCTAATATGGTATGCAAGATCAAGAAAGTATGGGGGTGGGGACAGCCCTCCTTCATAGGATGTGTAGTTCACTCTTACACAGTAATTCTTTCTCTCTTCAGGAACTAGAACTGTGCTACCGGAGCCCCGGGGAATCCCAGCTCTTCTCTGAGATCTACGTTGGCCACATGGGTTCAGGGATTAAGCTGCAAATCAGAGACAAGAAGCATATGAATCTCATATGGGAAGCCCTGCTGAAACCAGGTAAAATTAGTTTAAGGCCAGAGACCCCAAACGTAGAAGAAAGGCAATGAGTGGGGGAGGTGTGTTGTCATTGTTTCTTGTAACACAAAATAGTTAGATTAGTTTTGTGATCTCTGCTCGATCCATAACAGGTGTTCTGACCACAGTTTAATCTCTAATGCTGTGTTAGTTAGCTTTCCCAACAGTGACAAGATACAAGAGATAAACAACTTAAGAATAAAGGTTTGTTTTGATTCATAGTCTTATGTGGTGGT